TAACAGGTCCTTAACTGTTCCCTGCTGGATTATGAGGAGTTTATTCTGCTCTCCATCCCCATCTTCCAGTTCAGGGGGCTGAGTACCCTGCAGATACCTGGTCATTGGCTATATAACAACAGCCAATGTATAAATAAACCTGTTTGACCTCAATTTGTATGTGCATTTGTTCAGTTATGTCTGTCCAAAGTTAACCTAGGCCAACCTTGTATTAAAAATTCTGAGTCTGAACGTTGCGATTTCCTCTAGACTCGGTGCAACATAGAATGTACTCTGTAGCTAGCTTCCACAGTGATGTGTACCACTTAACTATTTACTAGTTTCTGGATGGAAGAGGCCTTCATAATACATAGCCACACTACTGCTAAAGAGTAGATGAAAAATGGCTGTATTTGATCATACAGCATGGAAGAGTCCTTGTGTGTTCCTTGAATACTTCTGTAAGTCTGTGTACAATGTGGGAAGCTTCCATGGAATGTATCCATTTGATACTCCGTTTTATACGTAACGAAGAATTTTACAGCCTGTACTCTTCGTACTTGGCAGTGTACACTTTCTAATGTAGATAGGCTTTTAAGGTGACAGACACTAAGTAGATTACAGTAATAAAATGCTATGGAAGCCTTAAATCATAAAGTTCTATGAGACACTTGAGGGGTAGTTTCTCTTTAAGGAAGACTTTACTTAAAAGTTGTGAAGGCAGTCTAAAGACTTACATTGGATTTAATAATCCTGTTTTAATACTCTTAAATCTGAGTAAACTTGTAGACACACTTAAATAACTGGAAATAATTCACGAAGTAATGGTTTCTGACTTGCTCAGTAGTGGTAATTACTCTTACCTTTCCAATTTCTTTGACTTTATTGAGCTATCCTCTTAACTCTTTATAAAAACCTTGCCACAGGTCCTTGGCCCATTTAAGACTTCTCTGGTTTAGACAAGACAGTACAGCAGTCCTACTTCTAGCTTCATTGTGCTTGTGTAAATCAGTGACTGCTAAGCTCAGGGCTACTACTCAACTGCTCAAGTTCCTCACTTCCCTTGGGCTCCTAAACTCCATCTCATGGCTGCTGTGGCTAAGATCACCAACTGTCACATCACTGATCGGTTCTTTAATAATGAGTAGCAGGTCTAGCAGAGCTCCTCCCCTGTTGAGCTTGTCTACCACCTCAGTCAGGTTTGTCCTCCAAGCACCACAGAAAACTCCTGGGTTGCCTGTGCACTTTCCCACAATCCCGTATTGCATTTCCATCAGACGTCAGGTAATTTGATATTTTTCATGAGAGCTAAGACCTGTGATTGTGCAGCATTTTTTCTTTGTTTTTTTTGAAGGCTTCACCTACTTACCCTTGATTGAGCAGTCTGAAACAGATGTTCACCATGATGTTCCCCTGGCTGAATCCTGCCCCATGGATTTTTCAGCTGTCCTGTAGCTCATTCCACACTAAAGCTCCATTTGCTTAGGTTCTTTTCATAAAATATAAGCACTGTCCTCCTTGGCTTTCTCACTTCTCCTTTCCTAAAAGCCAGTATCTATGCACTGCAGTTCTCTAGTTGTGTGAATTATCTCACCATACCACGTATTCCCAGTGAGATAGTTCAGGTGCTCTGATTTCAAATCCCTTGTGCTTGCTTCCTGTGCTGAACGCACTCATGTACAGCTACTTAAGATGTGTCCCTTTTTCAGGGGGACTGTAAGATCCTCACTTGTGTTGTCCTGTGCATTTACCCTCTCTGCCATTCTCCCACTTTCTAGGCTTCAGTCTCCACTTCCCTGGCAAACCTAGTTTGAAGCCCTTCTTATGAGGCAAGTCTGTTGGTAATGGTGATTTGTGTTACCAAATGGGTCCTCTCTCTCTAACATTCTTTGTTCCTCAGAAGATCTTAATGACTTAAGAGCTGGTCCTGCCTGCAGCCAGATGTTGATCCACAGATGTGTTTGCTCCTCTCAAAGTCTTTCCCCTGGATCAACACCTGGGCTGTGGTGTCATTCATCATTGTCCCTGGAGTTAGCTTTGATCTACTAAAGATCTCCTTTGGCCTCTTCATGGTGGCCATGTAGTTGGACAACTTCCAGCCTCCTCAAGTCCTGGGAACGCCTCATCCTAGCCCTGAGTGAGGAAAGCAGCAGATTTGGTAGAGGGTGGTCATGGCGTAGGGGGAGAGTTAATACGGGGGAAAAGAACTGTTCATGACTTTGTTCAAGAAGGCAAACTCTGGAAACTTCTAACTGGGTTAAGAGACTAGCTGCATCATGAACTTCTGTTTATGAAGACTGTTGGAGGAACCTGACTTGGCTAAAGAGTGTCAGATATGGAGAAAGCTGATACTCTTCTTACATGAAGATACTTATTTGTCTTACTTCTTGTAACAGAATACATTTATTAGAGATAAAGGGAGTTTGACAGATAAGGGCATTGCAGGTTAATAGAGCCAATAGTGTTTCTTTTCTGTTTGGAACTAGAAAGTGTCAGTGTTCAAGTATTGGTAGTTTGGGATTGAGGAGGTGATCAGCCACCGCCATCAGAGACACAAAAATACCTATAAAATTAATTTAGAGCAGATTTTTTTTTTTAATTGGTGAATCACAAGAGGTATAAGCAAAGTATATTTCTGACTGGTATCTGTAGACTTTTCAGGTTCTGAAGAGTTCCAAAACTGCTACTACCATTTGCTTATGCATACTGTCTTATGAAGTAAAACAAAGGTTTGTTGACATGCTTGGGTTCAGGTGGTTCCATTTCATGAAACAGTGCTGGCACATATTCATCAGCAGCTGTATTAGAAACTAAAGTGGATCTTCCCATGAAGGCTAAATTAAAATTGTATCAATTCTGCTGAAAAGCAGAAGAACTTTGTAGAAAACTGCACGAAGTGGAAGTAGTACACATCTTTTCTGGGGAAACTTTAGAATAAGGTCTGGAAAAAGATTCTATGTTGTTAAGTTGTGCAAGTAAGCTTTCATTTAAAAGAAAGTGTCTAAAGTTGAGGAAGCAAATGATCATATTGAGTAAAGTCTAAATTGTTGCTCTATGCAGAAGTTCTGGGAGGACTTGTAAGAGAAGTGTCACTTTGGATGGGTGGGATGGAACTAAGTTTGGTGAACTAGCAGAGAAGTGGGTTGGTGTGTCCTTTGCTCAGGAAAAAAAAAACAGTGTGTGTGGGGTATGCTAATTGCCATCTTTAATGCAAGCTGTATGGAAATCTGGAAATCACATTCTTCTTAATTGCAAGAACTTAAGTATTGGCTAGCTGCTGAGCTGCAGTGGCTTGCAGTTTATAACATGAATGATCATAATAATACACATAGTGTGTTTTATATTTTTAGACCATTGTGTTTGGGGAATTGCTGTCTTAACTTCAGACATTTTCATCTCTCTTGCTTTTTTTGACCATAACCCTTTGAAGCCAGAAGAACTGAAAATTTGTGCAATACTAATATGATGTGAATTTAGATTACATTGAATCAAAGACGGTGGATAATGCTTTAAGGTAATTTTTAGTGTATGCTTGGGCCTTGGATTTTTGCTTTCTAGTTTTTGTAGATTGTGTTTTTAAATTACATATATTTGTGAGAGGACAGTGGTTTTGTCACTTAATGTGTGTTCTCGCATAGGACTATTTATTACAAAGAAAAGTGAAAAATTAAAGTAGAAATACATATTTATAGCTCAAAGAGATTTATAGCAAGTATAATGATAATAAATCTGATCTAATAATATATAATTCATATGTTAAAATTCTAAAATAATACAAAATTGAAAGATAAATTTTAACAAAACATGACCTGTCAAGATGAACAGCTCCTATGTGTTAAGATAGCTTCTCTTGTCTATGTTATGATTTTAATATATTTTTTAACATGCTACTTAAGATATGGTATGTATTTATTCTTCCTTACACTACTGTACATACACTCTAAACCAGAAAGTAAATGTCATTTTTGATGAGAGCAGTTTGTTGTGTTGTCTTAGAGGGCATCACAGCTGATGAGCAAATCTTAGGATTTGAAATGTTCTTTGTTGATTGTAGCTAGTTATTTCCTGAAGATACTGGTATCTTATGTGGTGTGATGATAAAACAGTCTTGCAAAATACTGTAAAATACCTACATCTTTAATATAGACAGGTCTTGAGTATGAAGAATGAGAACATTCAAATACTGCTTTGAGTTATCCTCTTAGTTGAAAATAAGCTTATTACTTCGAAGGAGAAAAGAAGGGGTACTTGGAAACTGTTTCTATATTGAACAAAACTTCTGTTATATTGATGATGATGTAAATTCTCACCGTATTTCATCAGTTGTCATGCACCTCCTCTTCTGTTTTTTTGTTGTGTTTTTTGGGTTTTTTTTTAATAATTTAGTTTGCTCTGTGTCTCTTCTCCCTTCTCATAACAAATGTATGTCATTTTACCAAATATCTAAATAGACTAGCTGGTAAATCTGGAAAATAATTGGATTTATCTAATCCTCAATTTTAAAACATTTTTGTACATATATGTAGGATGAGAGAGAACTGTTATGATATCAGAAGCAAAATAAGCTTTCTTTTTTATATTTGTAGACATATTAGCTTACTCGGATTATGTAATTTCAGGCGATCATAAATGAGAAGTTTCTGGTTTTGAAAGTTTCCTCGTTTTTTCTTTTTTTTCCCCTTCTCCATACATGATTTTAATTCTTAGTGTTAAGAGAGAGACTACTTAACTTATGTAGAGCTATGAGGTTAATCCTCCCACCTTTAAGACTCTGTGGTGGTTATTTTAAGTCTAATGAGGTTGTTGGGGCACAGCTTAATAGGCTGATTGTGTGCAGATGGCAGTTGCCTTGTCTTATTTTTATCTTCTAATTCTGTTGAATAGTACTATAGTTGGAAGGAGAAACTATTTGTGTGATAAATGTAACAATTTCAGGAATTGCTCTCAGAATTTGAGAATACTTGTTGCCAGTGTTCTCAAATTTGCTTTCTTTTTAAGAAACTTTTGATTTACTGTTTTAAATGTTTCTTTTGTCTCCAGGTTTTGAAAGTATTTTAGAAGGGCTTTATGGACCAAGGCTACGAAGAGACCTCAGTTTATTTGAAGGTAAATGAGCCAGCTTTTAGTGCAATGACATTATTTTATTAGTTTTTCTTTTTTAGTTAAAAGTAGTTTAAAGTATGTATTGAATTCTAAAAAGGAAATCGTCACTTGTTTTTCTTTCTAATGTTTATTTCATCATGTTCTTGTCAATACTGTGCAAAGGCAAGATACTAGGTAAAATGGTACCTAGGTTTTGTTCCTATGCAGGGAAATTTTGGATTAGCTAAGCTTTCCTGAGAAGCTCTCATGAGAAAGTTCTACTTTTCTGGAATAATCCATCCTCTACTTCATTTTTTGGACACCTTTTAGAAAGGGAAGACAAGCTGCTCGGGTTCCTATTGACATTAATCGGAAAAAGGAAGTTAATGAGTGCTAGTGTGGTTTTCTTGGTAGTGGTCAAGAAAATGAAAGCTTTTTGTATATTTTTATGTCTTTATATATGTATTTTTAAAATAAAGCTCTTTATATATATTTGTATATACATTAAAAGTATTTATATGTTTAAGAGTATGTGTATATATCTAAAAATATATATTTTCCATTACCCTTACAAGACTTAGCCTTATTCCAAATGGGTTTGGTTTTGTTGGAATAGCTGTCAATAACACCTGAGTCTTTAGTTAAGTATGAAATGATTTATCAGTCTTTAACAAAAGCAGAGGAGGAAAATCTAGCACAAAATTGCTTTGAAGCGTAGAAGGAAGTCTTCTGTCAAGTTCATTTTCAAAAGTGATTTTACTTTGGAGCAACTGTAGAAGAGACGGAGGAGTGTTAGGTTGGGATGCTCACCTTACCTTACTGTTTTTGTTTAGTTTTCATGGATATAGCATCTGTAACTTCAGTAATCCCATTTGAAATTGCCATGTTTGATACAAACAGAGTAGACGCAGACCTTGTAGTATAGGCTGCAAGGCTATTTCTAATTTGAGGTTTGAATTGCATTATAAAGATTAATACAGAACGCTTGAGTAACATTTTTTATAAATCTTTCCACTATCATAATTTAAGTGCCGCTTTTCACTTTAAATAATAATACTAAGATACAGTGTAAATAATTTGCCTTGGTTAACAAAACATATGGTTGGTAGAATTGGAATCAGAACCCAAGTTTTTAGACCTTAGCAACATGCCTAAATCACTGCATCTTGTAAGGTGTCTATTTTTCTCATCATAACCACTGAACCAGTACTGTCAATATGCAATATTATGCCTCATTAGCAAGAGTGTATGTTTCTTTTAACAAACCTCAAGAAATTATATAGCTTGCTTATCCAGAAATGTGTGGAAATCAGCTGAAATACATGCCGTTTAGCTACAGTAGCACTTTTTCTCTTACATGCTGGTTTTATGTGTTGTTTGTAGCATAGAAAAAAAAAAGGGGGTATAAAATGTAACATACGAGTGTGTTGATTGATATATTTCTTCCTTAGTTCTGTCTCAAAATAGTTTTTGGTCTGTAGATAAAATTATTGTATTATATTCTCTCAAAGTTGCTTAAGAGAATAATAAATTGTAATGACAAATTTAAATGGTAAAAGGTATGCTTCAGATTTACTAGGTTTTTTTACTTTTCAAATACAATATCTTGTAAACCTCAGAAACAATCTTGCTTAGAAGCCAAACTAATTGAACTGAAACAGCCATCCATGACAACAGATAGTTACCTGAAGATGATGAGATTTTTTCCGTTATCTTGAAATTCTTATATGATGTATATGTAGGACTTACCTTGAGCTTGTTTAAATGGTTCTCGTCACTTCTTTTATTCAGCAGCAGGGTTTTTTTTCCTGACTGCTTTGATAGTGCAGCTTCTGGTTGCGTAGGTGTCAAGTTCTATATCTTGGCATCTGACCTTGGTCATGCTCTGAAGGAGCTTGAGACTTCCTGTGTCATGGAATCCTTAGGGCTTCCTAGTACTTTGCTTATACCTGTTTTCAGCTAAGTAGATTCCCAGGTAAATTGTTATTCTACATTCTGGTTCTGGATATTTAGCTAAACTGTTACAAATCTTTTCCTCTAATCATCTGGTATGTGTGTATTTTCTTTTTTGGGACTATGTGCTGGGGTTCTGTTCTCTTGTGGAAAAACAGTGTCTTGTGGGAGAAAAGCTGCTTTCTCATCATTCTTTCTCTGTCAGGAAGAAAACTCTATACAGGTTGAAAGTATTATTTGAGGGTGTTTTATTTTTCCTTAGGTTGTTCTGGAATGTTTATTCATATATAAAGTAATGGGGTGAAAAATTATATTAGAAATATAACTGTCTAATACCATTCAAGTTTTTATGAAATTAAAAAGATGAGGGAACATGATAAACACCTCAGATATTCTAATGGACTTATTAGGAAGCAGTAGTGCCATATAAAAAGAAAAGGGGGATGATTTGTTCAGAATTGTGACAAATACCTGGCAAATTTATTGGGACATTGTAATAAAAATGCAGAAAATACTGGAAAGTAAGGGTTGACTTCTTTTAAGCTATCATATTTAGATTTACTGGACAATTATTTCACATTTGAAGAGGTAAACATGGAATCTATTCAGTACTACATATGTCTGTATTTATTTAATTCAAGATGACTCCTTGGGGAAAAATGCTTTGGGGAAACAAAGATTTGAGTGGCTTAAGAAATGAAAAAAAGTGTTCGTTATTGTCAAAGTTGGCCATTTTTTAATTAAAAAATGGAAACAGGTTTAACAGCTTTTTACTAAATGAGTTTGGTTTCAAGTAATGATCTGTATCATGCTTAGTATTAAAATGCTCTTTGCATAGTCTTAACAACTTTTTCTCATGGGCTAGCTAGTGTTGTAGGTTGTCACTACAATTTTCATCAGCTGTCCCCAAGCAAGATAAAATGGGGAGGGGAGATGATCATGATCCTAAAGTGAATGCAGCTAAGAGGAAGTTTGTTCTGCTCAAAGTGCTATCTGTGCCTCTGATCTTTCTGCGAGTATGGTTGTCTACCTCTAGTTAAAAACTAATGCTGCTCTCAGTATGCTTTCTGTGGTGGTGACCTGAGATTGCTGGATGCCTGGCATTTGATATATCTGGTATACATCTGCTATCTGATGGCAGTTTTGCTTAGCTCACAGTTGTACATGGTTTATACTTTTCTTAATAAATTTAGTGTTATGTAGAGCTGATGTTTCTCAAGGTTTGCTTTTTTTGGTGACGCACAGCGATTGTTCTCTAGTTAGACTTTTAACAGTGGAACTTCAGGATTCCGAGGCAGAAGAATTTCTCTGAAAATATAAAACCTGTCTTGGAGTTATGCACGGAATCCCAACATTCATAAGTAGATTTATTGTCGTTGCAAGGAAAACTATGAAAACATGAATTTGTTATGAAAGAATAGTGTGGGGTTTTTTCATTTGTGGACATCTTAAAGGAAGAGCTCTAACAGGCTGGGACAGCTAGACGAGTTCAGCAAAAACAGCTCATTATTTTTTGTTACTGTCCATTCAGGAAAAAATCCTTCCTGCCTATGGAAGCATATAACACGTTGTTAATACAGAATTCTGTTCTAAATTAGCATTTTAGAGCTGAGTAAACTAGATTTAAATAATAATAGAATTACTTGGATTATGTTTGCACTCAACTTAAGAACCTCATTTTTTCAGATTAATTTTATTTCTGATGCCCCTGTGATAATATATTTAAGAAAGAGTAAAAGCTCAGTAGCTGCGGGGGAGGGAGCGGAGAGCGGGAAACAACCCTGCACCCAGCGAGGTCAGAGAAGGGAGAGGGGAGAGGAGGTGCTCCAGGTACCAGAGCAGAGATCCCCTTGCAGCCCCTGGAGGACCACACCGGGACAGATACCCACAGTGCAACCCATGGAGGACCCCACAGTAAAGTAGCTGGAGATGCCCTGAAGGAAGCTACAGGCTCATGGAGAGCCTGTGCTGGAACAGGCTCCTGGCAGAAATTGCTGCACGTAGAGAGAAGCCCACACAGGAGCAGGTTTTCTGGAGTGAACTGTGGGCCTGTGGAGCGGTCTTTCCCTGAAGGACTGTGCCCTGTGGAGAAGACACATGCTAGAGGAGTTTGTGAAGAACTGCAGCTGTGGGAAGGACCCACACTGGAGCAGTTCATGAATGCCTGTAGCCTGTGGGAAGGACCCCATGCTGGAGCAGGGGGAAAATGTGAGGAGGAGGGAGAGGCAGAGAGGAACTGTTCTGACGACAAGCCCCTCTTCCCCATCCTCCTTGCACCATTTGGGGTGGGGGTGGGGGTAGAAGAGTCAGGAATGAAGGAGTGAAGTTGAAGCCAGGGAACAAGGGGTAGTAAGGTGGTTTTAGTTTTGCCTTTCCCATTATGAAAATCAGTTTTTATTTGCAATAAATGAAATTAATTTTCCACAAGTTGAGTCTGGCTTGCCTGTGACAGTAATTGGTAAGTGATCTCCCTGTCTTTATCTTGACCCACAAGTTTTTTCATATTATTTTCTCCCTCTGCCCTGTTGAGAAGGGGGAGAGAGCTGCTGGGTGGGATTGGCAGCCAGCCAAGGTCGATCTGTTACTGAAAGCAGATAATGTCAAGAACCTCCTTAAGAGAACTGTGATTGTAATTTAGTGGTACAAAGAAAAGGAGGAAATATATTTGGTAATTAATAAGGGGGAGGGGGAAATGTTGCTTAGGTTGTAAGTACATGAACTGGAAATGAATGGGATGGAGAGGAACCTTGGTGTTGTAGTTTATCAGGTTCACAGTCACCTGCCAAAATGCTGCGGCTGTAATAGACTTATGCACAACTAGGATAGCGTAGGAAAAGTACTGTCTACAGTTTAAGAAACTTTGGTGTAAATGTAAAAGAAGGGCATCATCTTGGTCACCTTTGTGCAGGAAACAGGTGTTCAAGTGAGAATGGTGCAGAAAAGACGGGGTTGAATCTCATGAGAGAAAACCGAGTGGATTAGGTTAGCCTAGCAAAATGAAGTGTAAAGCGGGTATATTCTCTGTAAATACATCAAGGTGCTAAATACCCATGAACAATAACGGTTTAGGTATGAGAATGCCACAAAAACAAAGTGGAGTAACTTGCCATGAGTAAATTTAAACAAGAAAGTGGAAGGTTAATTTTAACTGTTAGCAGTGGTTTGGGAAAAGCTTTAAAACAAGTCGTGGTTTGGTAAGAGAAGAGTATGTGATGGAAAACTCTTAGCTTTTGAAATGGAGCTTAACAACTTGTTTAAAGAAAATAGATACCGTGTCTTCATTCAGTAGGAGAAGACAATCGATATAGGTGATCTGTTTAAGTCCTATATTCCCTCAAGTCTAAAGTATGTCTTCCGATAAAACATACATTTTAAAGTTTTGTAAATACATCAAGTGCTACAAGTGACTATAGGGTTTTGGTTTACTTGTAGTGATGGTATAAAGAAATTAAAATACTGCAAGTACAATACATGTAGCTCAAGTGGCGAGGAGTCCATATCCTAATTCCTAGCTTAGTTTGCTACAAGTTTGCACACTTTTGTTAAAAGGAATGGTGGCTGAAATTCAGAGCTTTATTTACAGTATACAGATGCCTCCAGTAACTGTGAAAGGTAATCAGTTGAAATGTATGAGTTTTACCTTTCCTTCTAGGAAAGGTGCCCTCAGCTATTTGAAAGCTGAGCCATGTGAGCCAGACAAGACTTCAGAAATGTCTGAAGCATTGAATACTATTGACTACATTGTACCAATAAGTGCATATTAGATTATGATGGAATTTATTTAAGAGAATTGTAGGATGTGTATTTTGTTCTCAAAATCCATTTTTACTTGTTTAAAACATCTAGTTTTTTTTCTTCTTTTAAGACTGTGAGCCAGAAGAGCTAACTGACTGGTCTATGGATGAGAAATGTTCCTTTTGTAATTTACACAAAGAAACAGTCAGTGTAAGTATGAACATGATACAAGCATGACTCCCCAACACCCAATTTTTGGTATGAAAGTAAGAATCAGAGAATTGAATTTTGCAAATAGGTTAATACTGCATTTTGATTTAAGATACTTTGGCTATGAGAGGGCGTGAGGTGGTTTGGCTTCATAGTAAATTTCTTTTTAGTGGTTCTTTTTCACTCAATAGCGCAATAATTACTTGTAAATTTTACTACCAATAGACTAACTTCTGAAAGATGTTATAATCTTCATATGTCTTCTAGGATCGTGCATCAGTTATTGGTTCTTCACAGTCAACACCTACAGAGGAACTGTCATCTCAGGGCCAGTCCAACACTGATAAGATTGAATGCCAAGCAGAAAACTATCTAAATGCACTCTTTCGAAAGAAAGGTAATAAAAGCATGTCTTTTATATTAAGAGAGATGACACAAATCAAATTATTTAGGGTTGATTTTCATTCTCAAGTAGTTTTTATTTATCTGCTAAATGCTGTTTCTCTTCTTTATTCCTTTGGTTTCCCTTAATCTTTTTCTTTGCTTACTTGAATCACCAGATGAACCACTACTCCTATTTGCCATTGCTGTTAGTCCTATTGCGTTGTGTGTCATTCTCTTGAATCCCTGTTTATTATATTGTTTTTTTTACCATGAGCTGCTACTTTGTTTTCATGCCAACTTCAGATGCTATTCTCTGGAATTTTACACATTTGAACATTTTCTGTTCC